TGATGTGGTCACGGCTGCGAGCAAGAGAAGAAGGGCTGAGGCCAATGATGGGGGTGATGAGAGAGTTGGTGGAGATGTGATTATGACAGAGATCCAAAAAAACTTATCCATGGCGGGTTCTGGTTCCCAGACCCGCCCGTCATTATGAGTACTATCAGCTGGAACTGTCGTGGCTTGGGCAATCCACGAACAGTTCGAGAATTAACGGACCTTGCGTCCAGAAAGAAGCCTGACTTTATTTTTCTTATGGAAACAATGGTGCAACGAATACATGCTGAAAGAATTCGTGTCACCCTTGGTTTTGAGGGACTTTTTATGTTGATCCGACACCGCAGGGTGGTGGTGGTTTAGCACTGTTATGGCGGAAGAATAATACAGCAAGTTTATTGAGTTACTCTAGAAATCACATTGATATTGAAGTAAAAATGTCTAGCTTTCCGAGGTGGAGAATGACATGTTATTATGGCTACTCTCAGCGCCATAGGAGGGCAGAAGCATGGGAGTTGATAAAGTCCTTTGCATCCCGGTCCACCTTACCATGGGTTATGATTGGGGATTTTAATGATCTCCTATTCCAGCACGAGAAGAGAGGAGGTAATCCACACCCTAATAATCTCCTACGCGGCTTTGGGGAGACTATTGACCAGTGTGGCTTGACTCAGTTGCAGATGGAGGGTTACCGGTTTACTTGGGAAAAAGGAAAGGGTACGCCAGCTTGCATTGAAGAACGATTGGATAAGGTATTAGCATCTAATGATTGGCGTGACATTGTGCCTGGGGCTAGGGTGATTAATAATCTAATGAGGAGGTCGGATCATTCTGCATTATTTTTGAGTGTCTATGGACTGTTACAAAACGGAGGAGGAGGAAGGAGAGGGTTTCGGTTTGAAATGGCCTGGTTGTATGATGATGGATGCAGGAATGTGTGGAGAAGTCGTGGGAGGAGGGGAGGAGTGAAGGGATCCAGGACTGTATAACACACTGTGGGAACAAATTGTCAAGATGGGGCGGAGACCGGTACCATAAGTTTGGTGAAAAAATCAGACACCTGCGGAAGCAACAGTTACATCTTAGGGGTCGTACTGATTTGGCATCCTTGAATGAATTCCAGCGCCTGGAAGGAATTCTGAGTAATATGGAGATCCAAGAAGATGCTTACTGGAGGCATAGGGCAAAACAACACTGGTTAAGGAATGCGGATGCTAATACGAAATTCTATCACAGGTACGCCTCTCATCGTAAGAAGAAAAATACTATTTATAAACTTATGAATGATAGTGGGGATTGGGTGGAAGGTGATGCTATGAGTGCAGTTATTTTGGATTATTTTAGCCATATATTTTCTTCCTGTAACCCATTGAATGGTGACAATCTGTTTTCTAGAGTATCCCCGGGTAACCCAGGATCAAAATGAGTCATTATTACGACCCTTTGAGATATTTGAGGTTAAAGATGCTCTATTTGCGATGGCCCCTGACAAAGCACCTGGACCAGATGGTATGAACCCAGGATTTTATCAACAATTCTGGGATATAGTTGGTAGTGATGTTGCGGCATTTATAGTGGATTGTCTAAACAACCGTGTTTTGCCCCCCAATTTGAATGATACAGATGTGGTACTCATCCCCAAGAAGAAAACCCCTCAAGTGGTAGCAGATTTTCGCCCGATAGCATTAAGCAATGTAATATACAGGATAATGGCTTAGATGATTACCCAGAGAATGAAGCCGTTAATGGGAGATTTAATTTCTGCATCCCAGAGTGCTTTTATACCAGACAGGCTGATTACTGATAATATTCTTGTAGCTGCGGAAGTAGGGCACTACCTGAATAGAAAACAATGCGGGGCAGTAGGATGGAGTGCACTCAAACTGGATATGGCCAAAGCTTATGACCGCATGGAATGGCCCTTCCTCCGTGGGATGTTGTTAGCTTTGGGCTTTGATGATAGATGGGTTGAGTTACTTATGTTGTGTGTGACCACTGTGTCGTATAGCTTTATGATAAATGGCGCTCACAGTACCTCCATTACACCCACGCGTGGCCTCCGCCAGGGAGACCCATTATCTCCGTATTTATTTATCATATGTGCAGAGGGGCTCTCACTATTATTGCAACAGGTGCAGAATAGAGGTTTAATACATGGTTGCAGGGTTGCTAGAGGCGCACCACCGATCTCTCACTTATTTTTTACAGATGATAGCCTACTGTTTTTTAGAGCAAACAGACACGAAGCATCTGAAATAAAGAATTGTTTACAGTTATATGAGAGCTTATCTGGCCAGAAAGTAAACTACCACAAATCCAGCATATGCTACAGCAGGAATACAGGGCAGAATGATAAAGATATGGTGGCACAAATACTGGGGGTTACACAAGCCCCCAACTTTGGGAAATATCTGGGGCTGCCTTCTTTTGTCGGACGGAACAAAAAGGCGGCATTCGCATACATTGAGGATAAAATTAAGCAAAGGGTTGGATCTTGGAATAAGAAGTTGCTAACGCAGGCCGGGAAGGAAATATTGTTGAAAAGTGTGGCCCAGGCAATGCCAACTTTTTCAATGAGTGTTTTTCTTCTACCAATATCTGTTTGTACGGCTATTGAGCGTACTATGAATCGGTACTGGTGGGGGTCGGGTACGGATCGTGGCATACATTGGAAAGCCTGGGATAAATTGTGTATCCCAAAGAAATATGGTGGACTGGGATTCAAAGATCTAAGGGCATTTAATTTGGCAATGTTAAGAAAGCAGGCATGGAGGCTGCTCACTAACACAGACTCATTGGTAGCCAAAGTTTATAAAGCAAGATATTATCCAAAGGATACTTTCCTAGAGGCAACTATAGGAAATAATCCAAGTTTTTGTTGGCGCAGTATCATGGCAGCGAAGGATCTAGTATGTGGTGGCATAAGAAGAAGAGTTGGGAATGGAAGTTCTACCTTGATATGGGAGCATCCCTGGCTAAATGATGAACTGGACCCTATGATTCACACGGAAATACCGCAATATCTGTCTGGGGCCAAAGTAATAGGGCTAATTGATCGCGATACAGGCACCTGGGATCCGCATATATTGGCAGATATTTTCCAACCAAGTGATATACCCAGAATTCAGAGTATACCAATTGCCCCTGAGTATGATGATATATGGTATTGGTATGGTGACCCTAATGGATGTTATTCAGTCAAGAGTGGCTACAGGCATATAGTGGGGAGTTATGAGCATAATTCTAATGGTATTTTTAATGAATGGTTATCCCTATGGAAATTAAAAATACCACCAAAGTGGAAGACATTCTTGTGGAGAGCTATTTGTGATATCCTTCCTACCACAAACAATCTGCTTATAAAGAGAGTGGATGTTAACCCATTGTGTGCCATGTGTGGAAATGTGAATGAAGATACCATGCATGCATTAGTTTTGTGTGACTATGCACACTCCATTTGGGCAAAATCCAACCTTCCAATCCCCAATATTATCACAAATATTTTCCATGAATGGTTTAGTGCAATCTTGAATGTTCTAGACTTTGATGGGATTGTTTATGCAGCTGCAATTTTATACCATCTTTGGAGGGCCAGAAACGGAGCGGTTTGGGATGCCTGCCTACCAACACCAACGAAATTATTGTCAGTGGCGGCTGCCACAATGAAAGCTTGGAAGGATATTCACCACCGCCACTTGCCGTCACAGCCACGGACCGCCAGCCACCACGTCGCTGCCAAACAGCACCCACTGCCGCCGCTGGGACCGAACGCCGAGCCTGCCGGGAACGGACTGCCGCCGCTGCAAGCTGCCGCTTCGGAATCCGTGATTGGCGAGATGATGACACCCGTCAAATGTTATGTGGACGCGAGTTATCATCGAGGAACCAATGTCGCGGCTGTTGGTGCGGTACTCCTCGATGCCAATGGCCACTACATATCCGCCTTCAGCGCCCCGTTAGCAGGTTGCCACTCGCCGCTCATGGCCGAGGCTTTGGCATGCAAAGAAGCTTTATCATGGCTTAAGAGGAGGAATGAGCTATCTATACGGATTCATACGGATTGTCAACAGTTACAGTGCTACTTATCTGGGCCACCACCCACGTTACGCTCGCATTTAGGTTATGCCATCGATAGTTGCAGAACCTATATGTCTGCCTTTAATTATTGTTCAGTGCTTTATATTCCTAGATTACAGAATTTATTAGCTCATACTTTAGCTACTTCAACACTTAGTTTCAATACTGCTATGTACTGGAACAATGTTCCACCAGACTCTATTTTAACTCTTCTATAAATACAACCGCCAAGTTGACTTTCAAAAAAAAATAAATAAGGTGACTTTCGGTTGGGGACTTATGTACCCTACTATCAAATTTCATATAAATTTCCCTTAAAAAAAAATTGATATTCATTACCATATTTATTTGGAGTTTTTTCTAATTTTGCTTCAACGACTATTGTCATTTCCACATTTGGTTCCTGATTATTAATTTTTCTATATTTCATCCACGACTTTTAAAAAATTACCACATTTGGTCCTCCAACCTAATTTATGGTCCCAATGACCAAATTTTTAGTTGCAAAATGTCATAGAAAATGATAATTTTGTCATTCAAATAAGCCACTTGACTATTATGCATTAATGTTCAATAACATAGAAATACAAATTTGGTCAAAGGGAGCCACAGAGGTATATCTGAGCATAAGGTGCTTGACAATTTTAATATAAATGCACATATATGTAGGCATATATTATATATTTTTATTTATTTATAATTATTTTAATTTTGATTTACTTCCAAATAGAGTTTTTCTACTTAAATCTATTATAATTTTCAAGTATTTGATTCTAATAAGGATTCTTCAACGCGAATTATCTGTAATCAACTCTGCTATTTTAAGATTTGGTTCAAAGTTCAAACACATTGAATATCCTTGTAATATTAGGTGAAAATAGCGATCAAGCTTTTATCTGGATACCAATTTTGTCAATATTAGTTGCTGGAGCCTGGAGGATTCTTAATTCAATACGCCAACTAATCGCGTACCATAAACAAATAATTTTTCCATTTGTCATTGTTTGAGTGATTTATCTACACAAGAAACATTGCATTGATGCATTTCTTCACTCTTACCAACTGTTTGTCTCTCCTATTTCTTGCTCTTGCCTTATTCTTGTTCTGCAGATACCCTCCAGTTTCTTCTACTCTAAATATGGCTACGGATTCCCCAAAATCCATTTTTGATTTCTCTGTTAAGGTATAAAGAAGGGTTCTTGTCTTGTTGTCTGATGTTTCTGCATATTTGTTTTTGATTTCAGTATTTTTTGGGGTAGTTTTGCTTCTATTTGTCCTATGTGTGTTTTGTCTTAATGTTTTCTTGATTCTTTGTTTCTTCCAACTCCCATACTTGGGATAAGAATTGCCCTTAAAACCTCTAGATTCAATTTTTTTTTTAATGAATAATTGTTGACTCTTGGTTGATTGATTGGAAATTTTCTGACTTTGATGACTTTGTGGATTATTGGGTTTTTGTCTTTGAGACCTTAAAATAGTTGAATTGTGATGGGTTTCTAAGTTTTCAATCTCTGAAGCTATTGAGACTGGTTTGATGCACAGAGTTTAGGAAGATTAGTAATATGAGTCTGAACTATCTTATGCTCTCTGAAAGTCTTTTTTTTTTCCTATAAATTCTCATTTGATCAAGAAAAGAAATGGTTTTGTACTTTGATGTTTACTCATTGAACCGGTATTTTCAGGATATACGTGGAAACGATGTTCCTTTGAGCAATTATAGGGGGAAGGTAGTTCTGATAGTGAATGTTGCTTCAAAATGGTAAATGAATTCACCATTTGTCTGTTTCCACGACAATATCACTTCTGTGTTCAGTTTTTTATCCTCGCAGAAATTTTGATTATTCAGTGTTTCTGAAACGAACTGCTTAGATTCTTCGTTACATATACTCGTGATTCATTGTTGATTCTTGACTACGAAATGTTAAAGGAATCGATATTCTGATATGGCTTTTAGCGGTTTTGTGCATTAACCTCCCTCGTTTTTTTCTTTTTTTAACAGTGGTTTGACAAACTCAAACTACAAGGAGCTGAACATCTTATATGAAAAGTACAAGGATCAAGGTTTTTTATTGCCATTTTTCATCTGTTATTATCCATCTCCGTATCTGCAAATTTCTTGGTATTTTCCGTTGTTATGTGTTGTATAAACGAATCTTGATTTACCATTTCAGGGTTTGAAATCTTGGCGTTTCCTTGCAATCAATTTGCTTGGCAAGAACCTGGGACAAACGAGGAGATCCAGGAAACTGTTTGCACTCGGTTTAAAGCCGAATTCCCTATATTTGAAAAGGTATAACTTTTTCTCGGTGAAACATTAGCAGTTTATTGTTAAAGCTACATTTCTTTTTTCCTTGGTTCTGCTACCTTAAAAAATATGTTTCTTTTAACTCTGTCAGTTGATCTGTTATGATATTTTTATAACGGATCCCGCTATCTTAATATTCCATTTAGAGTGACTCTCCTGTGAGACCGTCTCACGGAGGGTCAATATGGAAATGTAATACTTACACAAGGATCCGTACAAGTATTACATTTTCATTTTGACCTGCCCCGTCTCGAGGATTCGTGAGACAGTATCACGCAAGTTTTTGCCTTTGTCCTTTCGTTTATTCAATTTTTTTGATGGTTTTATAGATTGATGTGAATGGGAAGAACATAGCACCACTTTACCAGTACTTGAAATCAGAAAAAGGAGGTGTCTTTGGGGATTCTATCAAGTGGAACTTTACCAAGTTCCTTGTGAACAGGGAAGGAAAGGTTGTGGAGAGATATGGTCCTTCGACATCCCCTCTTAAATTCGAGGTTGCTTCTGAACGCCATTTTCTCCTCTTAATTTCTTCCGTAATATGATTTTGTTGGGCATTCTTGAGTAGCTAGGAACGCGGTTTTTGCTGATTTTAAGCAACTGAGGATTATTATAGGAACCCCCGCGGTATAGGACTTTTTAATGTTAAGAAGTTAATGGATTATAAAGTAAATGAAACAAGGGAAGGGAAGCAGATCAGACAACCTTGGATGTTTCAGAACAGTATGCATATTCTCAACTGAGATTGTTCTTCTAATTTTTTGCAGAAAGACATAGAGAATCTCTTGGGCTCCCCTGCAAGCACCCAGGTCATTTGCTTTCTTGCTTAGCCACTTAGCTATCTTTCATTTCTTTTCTTAATTCAATAGAATGAATCTTGAAATTACTGTTAATATTATTGATGGAATTGGCTTAGAGTCGGTGTTGCAAAAATCCCGCCTAGGCATTGATTAATCAGCACCTAGGAACTAGGCGCTGACCGGCTGTCTAGCGTATTGCCATAATCAATGAGAAATGACAATTTTACCCTTTAAGACAAGTTGCACCGATGACCAAAAATTAGGTCTAATGGACCAAACATGATAAGGATTTAAAAGTTATAAGACCAAACATAGAAAAATTAAAAGTTAGGAACCAAATGTGAAAATGGTCAGATAGTTGTGGGATCAAAAGCGGAAAGAACTCCATTTAAAGGCATCATTATTACTTTCCAAAAGGAATGTACAAGGTTCAAGTCTCATCTCAATCATGGTTGGCATAATTATTGAACAAATACTAATATACTATTAATACGTTAGAGTTTACCCAAAGAATATATTCATTAAAAAAAAATCAGATATTGTTGACACAGTGCAATATCATACAATGTTTTTTTTGCTCATAGAAAAACTACATATGGATATAGAGATATTTCAAATCCAATTCACTCTTCCAGAATGCAAAGCACAGGCATCTATAAGACATGTCAATTACAAAGTAATTACACAAATAATTCCACTAAATACTAGAAAGATGTGTACTAAGAGGACCAAAATGATTTTCCATATGATAACCAGTCATTTGTTCTTGTTACATTGCAGGAAAATTGAAGCACCAAACATTTTAATGGAAGCACCAAGTTTCAGATCTTTGCAGTGTGTAACATATATCATATCATTGGTTGCATTGTAATAGCGAGTGGCATATCAGGGCACTGTTTATCTTCCCTAAGCATCTGTTAGTATCTGGTTTTATTTTCTTTCTGAGCATGCTTGTCTGCCAGCCTTTCCTGCAAATAAGTGTTCAGATCCATGGAAATGAACACAGCATTCAATATTTCATCCTATTTCTGAAACTTTATGGAATGTATATTAAGCAAAAGTTGTGTTTAATCATCAAATTGTTCCAATGTGGCAAGAATTCACTCTTTCCCAAACTTAGAATTTTCAAGATTTGACACTAAAATCTCCTCTCTTTTTTAGTGACGGAAACTTGCAGTCACTATCCGAAAATCTGCAATGGGTAAACTCTGCCTTGTGACCTTAGCCAGCAAAGGACAGCAAGGAGATAAATTGCCCATAGCTGACCCTGATCGGCTCAAACCAAGAAGGCCAATAGGCCACTCTTGCTAGTCGAACTTGTAATCATGTGGTTACCAAGTCAACAGCCTAACCAACTTGGCCAGGGTTGTCCTTGACAATAAAATCTCCTTATTACAAGGTCAAGAGGCATCTGTATAAAGAACATGCAGAGACCATGCATAAACAAATAAAAACGAAATCTGATTTGGTAGAGAGCTTCTTACCCATCAATCTTCCACTTCATGATGTCTCCATGGCAACAGCTTAGAAGTTTTCAGGGAACACTACTAGAAAACATTGAAATCTTAATCCTCTGGAAAGTCCTCCATTGGATGAACCAGAACACTTCAGAAATCCCGCTATTGAAATTCCAAATGATCTGTCGATTGATGTTGGCTTGTTGGTGGCAATAGCATGTAACTGATGGAAACCCCTTCCTAAGTTCAAACTTCCAGTCCAAAGAACTCGAGTGAAATCTAACTCCCTTTGAGTCCAACAATAAACAGGATTTTTTTTTACGTTTCCCTGTTTAGTTCTCAAATTTCATGCACATCATCAACTGATTCCATATTAAATCTGCGACCACCCAGCTAAATGCATCTATCATGTTATAAAATGGTATTAACATAGAAAGTTTCTTATCTAATAGACTAATAAGCATGTTTTTGTTTATATCAAAACAGTAAAGCTCGAATGGACAATTAATTGACACATCGAGTATTAACCAATGGCACAACACATTTCAAACAGTAGATAACAAAATTGCCAAATACCATAATAAATCCTACTTTCAATAGTAAGCAAAATAAGTAGTATGCATTATTCACTTCTCTGTTTTCTAAAATTCACCTAGTTCAACTATGTCCAAACAAAGTATCTAAATTCATAATTGTTAAGAGTTGTCTATTGAAACAAGGCAATGTAAGCATTTTAGTCCCAAATATGTGGTCAAAATAGTCGGCATACTTTTGATGAAAAGCAGTACACTACTAAATAGTCGTGCTTACATTTATAACGAGCTTCTCGTTCAATTTCTTTCCTTTCGCATTTCTTAATTCATCTCCATCCTCTCCAACAATTTACGAGCAATTGCCAACTTGCCAGATTTTTGAAAAGCAGACTCGAATTCATCCTTTACATATACTGGCAGGTAAATTCCTTTTTCAATCATTGAATTAAGCTTTGTGTAGGCATCTTCTAATTCTCCGTCTTTACAAAGCTTTTGCAGAATCTGCATCTCCATCCTTTCTTCCAACTTCTTAGATAAATCCACACGCTCATTTTTTTTTAACAATTTATCCACTAGGCTATAAGTGTGAAAATGTGGACATATACCCATTCTCAGCATTTCCATTAATAGACCGTAAGATGCTTCCCAATTCTGAACTTCACCATAGCTATGTATAAGCATCGTATAGGTTATACTATCTGGAAGGCACCGATTCTTGTCCATAATTTTAAACACTCTTTCAGCATCACTTAATCTACCCAACTTGCATAGCATAGAAATTATAGAATTATAGACTTCTAGCTTTGGCTTCAAGCCACTAGAGACCATCTTCCCAAACAATTGGCTAATTTCATCCACCAAACGGTGTTCACATAGACCCTTCACCACGATCGTGTAGCATCCTTCAAGACATCCCAGTTTCCTTTCTTCAATAACCTTCAAAATGTCGAGAGCTTCTTTCATTCTCCCATGTCGGCAAGCCTCGGATACAAGCTTATTAATCACAAATACACTTGGCAATACACCCAAATCAAGAACTCTCCAAAACACTTTAATTGCAGGATCTATTGCGCCGTTATGTCTATAGACATTAGGCACCAAAATAGTAACCGGTCTACGATTGTCCTTGACTTTAACTTTTTGAATAGCTCCCTCCTTGGAACTCAATGAACAAAACTCGCCAATAAGAGCGTTAATTGCTGTTCGAGTAGGAGCGAGCTCAGTTCGGCACATTTCATGAAAGAGTCCAAGGGCAGTCTCTAATTGGCCAAATTTACACAGACCAACAAGGACATTGCTATAGGAGTACATATCTGGAGACTCGATACTCCTAAAAATCATCATAGCAACATCCAAGAAACACCCAGAACTTTCTTTCTTGCATAGCACATATAGAATGTTATTGAACACAAGATTATCAGGTTTACAATTCAACTCAGATTCCATTTCCCTAAACAAACAAAGGGCTTCTTCCACCCTCCCCTGCCTCCCCAAAAACCTTATGCAAATCGAAACAGCCCTACTCGAAACCCGTCCATTATTTGAAGACACAGATATCAAAAGACACTTCAAATCATCAAAAAGCTTCCTCCTGCCCAGAAAATCAGCCATGTAATCCACTACTTGATCATCAAACCCAAAACCCATTTGCATCCCAGCCCAAGAAAAGAATTCGAGTGTCTTAATCCTACCCAATTCCCTGTAACTCATCAACACTCGCAAAACGACATCAGAGTTAATCCTATGCTTAAAATCAGTCAAGAGCTCACCAATACTGCAGTTTTCAGTGCTTGTGTTGGAAAGCAATAAACAGATCGAATCGGCATCAGAAGAGACTGCTCTTACATCTGTTGGTGAAATAACCAAGGCGTTTGAGGGCGAGGGCGCCAAGGCAGGCCCAGTAGTTTTGCGGATTAGGGTAGGGGTTTTGGACGAAAGAGGCTTAGAAGAAAAGGGAAGAGCGGAAAAGAAGAGTTTGAACAGATTTGAGCCTCCATGTATAGTCTTGGAGAGCATTCAACTGCAATGGTAAAGTGAAAATGTGAAAACCCACAAGCTCCTGCACTTTGATTTTTCAAGTTCTATGGTGTCGAAGAAGCATTTTAACTGTCTGAAGTTCGTCTTTGCCGTTTCCCACGCACCTTCTAATTCTTTGGGTTTCACACCGACCTAGGTCTCAACTCTAGTGGGAGAGTGAGAGTTCGACTCCCAAAGCATAATACACAAAATGTGTCATGATGACAAATGAAATTATAATTATAATAAAACTAAAAGAAAAATAGTCAAATAAGCCCTCAAACTTTTGCTTAAAAGTCAATTAGGCCCTTAAACTTTTTAAAGGTGCAATGAAGCCCAAAAACAAATTAATGACCTGCTATCACAGGTCATTAGGATTCAGGTCACCTTCCGGTGAATTTTCCGGCAAAAAAAAAAATGACCGGCGAAATTTTCAGCAAATCTGGGTCGGTTGCTGGTCACCTTTTTTTTTTTGTTGGAAAATTCGGCGGAAGGTGGCCTGAACCCTAATGACTTGTGATAGCAGGTCATTAACTTGTTTTTGGGCTTTATTGCACCTAAATGAATTGTTGATGGGTGTAATTGAACCTTTAAAAAGTTTAGGGGCCTAATTGACTTTTAAGCTAAAGTTCGAGGGCCTATTTGACCCTTATCCAAACTAAAATGATATTTTAAGTTTGTTATAATGAAATTAGTATGTGAAAAATGAAGTAAAAATAGAGCTCATTCAGTAATTTATATTGTCAAATGAAACTATACTATAATTAAAAGACAACATTATTGCATGGACCATGGTCTTTGTGGGGACCATACATAAAAACATTTTGAATATACTAAAAGTACATTATTTATGTACCTAAGGTACAGTCTTTAAAAGTACATTTTTGCCATGGTCCATGGTCCACACAATAATTTGTCATTAAAAAGAATAAGGATCAAATAGCCCACCCAAATATACACCAAACTTTTATTGTGCAACTTTTGCAATTGTAGTGTGCAAAATCACAGTAGTTGTTCTGGTTGCGAACTGTGCATCCTTCTATGTTTGACTGTGCACATTTTGCGGAGAAATCAATTGTGAAACCTAGAGTTCAAACCTATCTCAGAAATCAAATCCTTAATTAATCCCCTAAAATCCGGACGGTATTTAGGGGTGTGCAAATTTTGAATAGTGTTGTTTAATGTATTAAATATTTAAATGTAATATGTTTATAGTGTTGTTATGGTATTTTTTTTTTTTTGTATATTTTGTTATGAATTTATTATGATATGTATATTTTAATTGAATTTATTATTTTAGGTGCTATTTTTAGGATTTTAAATTTTAACTTAAAAATGTTCGGTTAATCGGTTAACCGACCGATTAACCGAAAAAAATTTGGCTCGGTCAATTCAGTAACACAAACTTCGATTCGGTTAAAACGGTTCGATTAATCGAACGGTTAATCGATTGAACACCTCGAACAGTATTTACTATCCAAATTCCTAAATGCCCCTACCTTAATTAATCTACACAATTCGCCGGTCAAAAAAAAATAAAACACCTTTTTATATATACCATTGATCTCAAGATTTCAAATGCCTAAATTTGTCCACACAAAATCATGGAAAGGATGAACTCATTTAATTATATATATATTTTTGAAAACCTATATATATATATATATATATATATATATATATATATATATATATATATATATATTTAAAATAACCAAGCCTTTTATTGACGTCGAATAGCCCGACGCGAGGCAAAGCCTCCAAGATCATAAAAAAGAGCAAATTTAGTTTTTACTGGTAGGGAATCCAAGCTACAGAAAATCTGCGAAGAGCTATGATTTAGACCAATCGCTGCAAGAGCATCGGCTACTCGATTGGCCTCTCGATATACATGTCTGATCGACGAGCCCCAAGCTGCAAGATTGAATGAAGATGGTGGCCTAACCCATCTTCCACGGTAATCGTGACGACTTAGCTGATACCAAATTGGCGAGAGCTAGCGAGTCTACTTCCACCTCGAGAAGTCTTCTGGCAAAAGCTTCACACCAATAAACAGCAAGGCGGAGCGCCCATGCCTCAGCCTCTAGTGCCGATGATGCATCAAAGCGGAAGCAAAGCCCCAAAAGAAGCTGTCTGTGTGAGTCCCTTAAGCATTCCCCTCCTGCCACACCGCTCTCTGTGAAAACAGCATCAGTGTTGAGTTTCAGTCTTCCCGTCGGCGGCGCAAACCACTTCACCCACAGAGTTACAGTTCTCGGGGGAGCTGCAAATCGTGCCACCAAGCTAGCCGGCACAAGAGCAGCATCTTGAGAATTCGCGCAGCGAGTCGGGCGAGTCAAAGAAATTAACATCAATTCACGCCTAATTTTGACGACGGCTCCGGTAGACGAGAAGGATGCATCCTCATAAAGACAATCATTGTAAGCTCTCCACAAAAACCAAAGAATTAAACAGGGGGGCAGCCGCGCAAAAGCCTCCAGTGCCGATCCTAACGGCGCCATCAACCACCATGCGTGACACTGGGCCCGAATGGACCTTGCAAGGGTAGCCGGCAAACCAAAAATCCCCCCAAAGTGCTTCCAAACCTCCTGAGCCCTGCAGCAATCATATAAGCAGTGGTTGAGAGACGCCAACTGACCTCTACAAAATGGACAGATGGAGGAGAGGCAGAAACCAAAGTTCTGGATGACATCCGGATAAGGCAGCAAACGGCGGAGCAGCCGCCACATGAAAATAGAGACCTTCGAGGGCAGACAGACCACCGCCCCAGATGCATGATGAGGATAGGTTGCGTCCTTGTTTTGGGTGAAGAAGCTCATAAGCTGTTGAGAAAGTGAAATCGCCGTAAGTTGATGGTGCCCAAATAGGAGTCCCTGAAGAGCTAACTACCACGTTATCATTCACAAAGTCCTTCTGTTGCTGCATTCGCCTCCAAGTAATCGGAGGAGCCCTACGAACGCGGCCCTCCGGATAGCTGGCACACAAGAAATCACTCCACAACGAGCCTCCTTGCATCAAATTGAATTGAAGCTTCGCGGAGAAAGTGTGCTGAATGTTAGTGACTGATCGAACTAACGGGCCGCCCTCTTCAGTTGGGTAACAAACTTTTGCTCATGCCGCGCAGTGCCTCTTTTGCTGTCCATTCGCAGTCCCCCAAAAGAATTTAGCAAACTTAGACTCTAGAGACTTCTCCGTGTGGCGGGGGAGCAGAATCGAAGCAGTCGTGGAGAGGGGAATCATAGTTAGCACATGTTTGATTAGCGTCAGTCGGCCGCCCGGAGATAGCAGCTTTCGTTGCCAGCCCAGTAGTTTACTGTCCACTTTTTCCAATAAATGTTGATAGTAAAGCAGACGATTCTTGCCCATGAAAAGATTTACACCCAAGTAACGAAAGGGCAAAACCGATCTCTGCATGCTAAGTATTCGTGCCATAGCGGCAGCCCGCTGATCGGAGAAGTTTCTGGAAGTAACGAAGAAGTTTTTTCGGAAATTAATCTTCTGGCCTGAACCTTCTTGATATTGCGTGAGAACTTCCACAAGAGCTTTTAGCGATCTCGACGCCCCATTAGCAAAGATAACTATGTCGTTCGTGAAGGCTAAGTGGGTGACCGTAGGGCATCCCAATGATGAAGAGTACGATGAAAGCAAGCCAACACCCATCTTTAAAATGAGAGAGCGAGACAAGGCTTCTGAGACCAGAATAAAAAGCAACGGTGATAAAGGGTCACCTTGCTTGACTCCTCGAGTGGGATGGAAAAAGCCAAAACTGATCCCATTTACCAAAACAAACAACCTTGTCGCCTCCGGGTTATGCATTACGATATTGACAAAAGAGAGCAGAAAACAAAGCTTGATTAAAACTGCGCGCAAGCAAGGCCATTCTACCCGGTCAAAAGCTTTCATCATATCCAATTTAATTATGACATTCGAGCCCCGACATCTTTTATTAAGATACTGCAACAGCTCAAAGGCTAAAAGAATATTATCCTGGATACTTCGGCCTTCCACAAACCCCGCTTGCTCCCTGGAAATCAGCTTCGGAAGGACTCGGCTGAGACGAGAGGCGATGATCCTGGTAAAGACTTTGCTCATGAACGTGCAAAGGCAAATTGGTCTAAAGTCTGCAAAAGAATCTGGGTTTGACTTCTTGGGTATTAAAACAATCTGGGCACTTGCCATGGCCCTCGGTAGTGGCACTCCAGCAAAAAAGTCTAGAGCTGCATTGAAAACATCCCCTTTAACCACTTCTCAACAATGGTGGAAGAAAGAGCCCGAAAAGCCGTCTGGGCCTGCTGCACTATCAGGATCCAACCTCCAAACCGCATTCTTAACCTCGTCTTGTGTAATCGGCGCCACCAGGGACTCCGCCTTCAACGTAACGAGGTCAATAGGGAGACATTATAAGAGGGAATCCAAGCCCGAGCAGGCCTCAACCGAGAATAAATGAGAGTAGAATGCCACCGCCTCGGGCTGGATGTCAGCTTGGGAGGTTGAAAGAATGCCATCTGCTCCTTTGACGACACAGATCCTCTGTCTACGATGCCTATCCTTTACGACAGCATGGAAGAATCAGGTATTAGCATCCCCCTCCTTGAGCCATTTCACCCGCGCATTTTGTTTCCAGAAGCATTCTTCCTGCTTGAGGGTTAAGAGGATATCAGCTTGCAGATTATTGAGTACTGATCGAGTTTCACCCGAACGGCAATCAGCATGGATGAGTTTTGCTTCTGCCACCCTGGCTTCAAGTCTCTTGATCCGGTCAAAAACGACTCCTTATTCTAGGTACGAAGAGCCAATTTGAGACGCTTGAGCTTGAAAGCAAGAGCACGCGTGCCCACCCCCCCTCCCCCCCTCCGTCTGCCGGCAAAGCCCAGTTGCTTGTGACAAAATTTTTAAAGTCTGGATGAGATAACCACATATTCTGAAACCTGAACTGCTTTGGCGTAGACATGTCACTATTTGCTCCCTGTAGCAGGATAAGCGCATGAGCTGAGGAATTTCGGGGCAAAATGTTAATTCTAATCTCTGTGAAGTAATCTCGCATGGGCGCATTCATCAAGAAACGATCCAGCCATTTCCACACTGCCCCCAAACTGCGAATTCCGTGCCAGGTGTATTGATTCCCCAGAACTGCCAGATCAATCAACGAGTTGTCATTT